CCTAGATGGATGCTGGAATGGCTCGTTAAAATGAAACGAAAGAATTTTAATCGTACTATTTTCCAAATCAGAAAGATCCCAAGTCCAGTACAATCGGAAAAGATACAGTTCGAGTAAAGACGCATTGGACGTAATTCGCGTGCTTAAAAAAATATTCCAAGTGTACCGTATTGTATACACGATACGAATAAACTTTATTTCCTTCGACCTATTTTTTTCGATAGAATAATGTAACTTTTTCAAAAAGAGGGGCTCGAAATTGTCACTTTTTGGAGGACTACGAATTAAATTCGATTACTAAGGGCTACCCTTAATATTTAAACTTTAACTAACGCGTTGTTTACTTATTCGCTTTAAATAACTCCGCATCGCCTTTAAACTTATTATTCGTCTTTTCGGCACAGTCGAAAATATCAATCTCGTTAAAATCAATCCAATTAATCGGATAATCTACAATTAAATTCGTAGCGCGAGGAGTAAACTACCGTAATAGAAGTGTTATTCGTAGAAATCCGAGATTTCCAGCCGTTAACTCTGGATAAACTGTCCACCAACGTAATCTACGTAACACCGCATTACGAAATCCGATTTCTCCCGGTACGTCACCAAGGGTGTAGCCAATCGTTTCTCGTAAAACTGCGTCGCGATTTCGAAGCGTAATAGACGACAGATTCCAACGGCGAAAGAAACTACGCTAACTCGGAGACAGGTATTATTAGAATTACTTGCGAAATTTAAAACACGTATTAGAAATTAAAAAAAGAAACGCTCTAGAAATATAACATTCACCGGGGAATCGTAACGCATCGTAAGCGATTATTATCTTGTTAAAAAAATTAAAAAAACAAATAAAGAGACTAAAGACCGAGAGGAAAAAAGGGTAGAATTTTTAAAACTGGAAATCGTTTGCTAAATCGATGGCTCGGTCACCCGGCAACGTCGTTGTTTATTTTCGACTTAACGGCTTAACATGACGGAAAAAATCTAACACGACGTCGTAGATCCGCCGAATCTCGAGAAAATCAACCGAAAGCGCCACACTTATACCGAATCGTCCTCCGGCCGATACGGTGGCGATTATTATCCAGTAATAAAATTTAAAAATCGGAAATGTAAAATCGATTATCGTTAGACAGGGGTTTTTTTTATGTATTTTAACCACGCTTCGCGCAACCCCGCGCGTTCTTTTTAATCGATTCTTTCTTTTTTTTTTAGTGATATTCGGAATTTTCCCACCTTTAAGACGAATATTATAACCGCGTTGTTTAAGCGTAAACGGGCATCCCGGTGGAAGAGAAGCGCGATCCGACCGGAAGATTTGTAGTTGGCGGCGCCGCCGGATGGAATTTTGGCTTTCTCCCACGCGTATTTTAATAGGCGGATGCGAACCAGGTGGCGACTAACGAAGAGAAAAAATTACTTTGGCGGTATCTATCGTACGACCGATACACTCCTCGCACGAAAATAACGAATTAACAATAGTACCGACGGAATGCTAAGAACTGATCGATTGCGGAGGCATTTCTGCAAATATTAATGGTAGGTTTAGACGAAGAATACACTCGGAACAAACAGAGGTTTATATCGAAATTAATTAATATTAGCAGTAAACGAGGGCCGGAGAAACTTTTTTTGTGTAGCTCCTTTTAAGAAAAAAACGCGTTTTCCATACGAATGAAAAAATATATAATATTGTATATATGATAGATAATAGAGATCGATAGAAGGAATGTTTTCTTCTTAATTTAAATTTTATATCCTTCGATGAAAATAATTTGAGGGTGTTCGACCGACTGCGACCAACCTTAGTTTACCTACGCGTAATCTTTTATTGCGCAAAAACATTTCGAAACAAAATGTAAAAACGAGAAGGTATAAATTGCGAAGCGACACGTAATTGAATTATTGCGTCGTACGTAATTTTAAGCGCGATTTAAAACCGTAACTTCTTTAAAATTTATATTTAGATAACAGAAATTAATTAAACGATATTAAAATATTATCGTATATAAACTTACAGCGCAGTACAATATGTACAGTACGTAATTAGCTTATTAATAACTTTGAAATTTTCATCTACTCCGCTTTAGACGAAGACGTATAAATCCGAATTTCGACGAAAAACGGAAGGAGAATAGAGAAGGGACCGGAAATACATTTGGAAATTCTCGTACGTTCTCGTCCACGATTCCGAAACGCCATCTATCGTCGAGTAACCGGGCAGGAATTGCATTAACGCGGAGGGAAAAGTCTTAATTTCGGGAGTAGTTCCGAGAGCCAGATATTTGTTAATTCGTCGCCACCGGTCTCGACCGCTTCTGTGTAACACGCCAACGGTTTCTAAAGCGACCGGTTTATTCGAATTAAGTTTACGTTGGTGGGCGGGACGTGGGTCGTTTAATGAGTTCGAACGGATTATTACCGCAAAAACATTCTCGCGTTATAAATAAACTCTAAAGGTTATTAGAATTTTCTTTTCTTCGGCCAAATGAAGTTTCGCTTTCGCCGGTTCTTTCCTCCCTTTTTATCCGCGTTTACGATAACTTTGTTTGTAGATCGAGCATCGCCGATCGGGTGGAAACAATTTCCGGCGCCTTTCGAAATGGGGAAGTTTTTCCCATTTCGAAAGGATTACGCCATTCTAAAAATATTTTTACCCGCCAATTATTGTTCGTTACCAATGACGATTCTTTACCGAGAAACTAATTTTAAACGGGCTCGCGCGCGAGAGTTTCGAAAGGCCTGGAGTCGAGAAAAACGCATACTGTACTTTATCGTAACGCGGTTTCTTAATTTCTACAATATACGCGTACGGATTAACGCGATACCGTTTAATTAACGTAATAATCTTTTTGATTCGTTTGATTGGCAAATGGGAAGGATTAACCCTCTAAACCTCCCTGTCGGCGGCCCGGGTTTTTCTTCGGTTCCTATTTAGTACGTAAATTACGGCCAGCCGTACTCCGTACCCCGCCGACGTCGGATTTTACCGAGTGTGACGAAAGGGAGATCTTCGTTGACGTAATCGTATAAATACCGCTTCTATCCGGCGAAACGTATGGAGAAAGTATTTCCGATCACAATTTTATTGCTAAATACGTCTCCATTGTCGTAATTAGAGAACGACGATTTTCTTAAGAAATTATAAGATCGTTGATACGAATTAGACGGAAACTACCGTAAACAAAAGTAAAACTGGTAAAAACCTGCGATAGAACTGGTAAAAAACGGACAAACTTCTGCAAATAGTTTAATTACAGCGATCTCGATTCATTTCAAAGTATTTAGACAGAGAGAAAGATTAAAATTCGGGAATAGTCTTTATGGAGAACATAATTTTTATGTTTTTATTGTCGAGATACTTAAGTAGAATAAATATTACATTAAGTAGAAGTTATTGTATTAATTAATATGTAATATTTATTTATATTAATATGCGATGCTTCAAATCGGCACGTTAAATGCAAGTCTACATTTTTATTTATGTTATTTGCGGTACACGAAATCGTGAACGTCCTTTTAATATTGTAGCACAAGAAGAAATTCTCGTCTGTAACCCACATTTTATCATTGTCATTTTACCGATCGTCGCAATTTCACTGTATTTTTCGTAAACGCGCTAACACCCATCTCAAAATTATATAAGTTGAATTAGACACGTTTTTACTGTTAATATAATCAAACTTACACGTTTTTCCTTAAATATAGTCATTGTACAGTACAACACGCTACGGGGGGGACTTAAGGTCCGAAATGTATTAATTTTTCAAATAATAAAGTGATTTTCTAAGGCTAATCCCATGTCCCGCGGTGGTGTAATAAGTCTAGCCATAGAGAAAGGCCGATTCAATGCTTACGAGCTAATGACTAAAAGTATGACTTTAAAAAACTTTCCTGTTAGGTTTTTTAAGAGTACCGTTTCAAATAAGGCCCGCTTTCGAAATTCGACGGCTTATTAATTTTCGTCGCACTCCGGGCAAATAAAACACCCGCATCTTCGGGCTATTAACCGATGCGCTGGCGGCATACGTTTTCGGCGTAAAGCTAGGTTCGCACTGGCTTTACGCCGAACCTCTTCGAAAGAACGAAACGTTATTTGAATTTGATGGGTGGAAAAAGTTTCGAACCCCGGCGACGAAAAGACGATGGGTCGAAGGAACCGAAGTTGGTCAAAAGCCGAGTTATTTCCAAATTCTAACGAACAGCGGCGGAAAGGGGACGAACCGGCAGTTTCTACGTACCGTACAGTACTTTCTAGCGGTTCTCGCGCCCAGAGGCGGATCTACGTAGGGACTAATAGGGCTTAAGCCCGGGCCCCCGAGTGTCGAAGATCCAGAAAAATCGAATTATCGGCATAAATTGTTAATACTTTTTTATTAACAACGAGTACTTATCGCATAGTAAAAAATAGTTAATATTAATAATATAATAATAATGATAATTTACGGTATTATTTATTTTATTTGTAGTAGTATTTTACACCGCAATTTAAAGATTGTTAATCTAACAAAAAATGGGGCCCCGTTGAATTCGAATACGTCCTAGGCCCCCTAAAACCTAGATCCGCCCCTGGTGATGCCGACGCGAATGTAGCTAGCGTAAGACCGAAAACTTCGGGACGTCGGATGGAAAAATATTCGCGGACTTTCCTCTCGTCCGCGACGAAATTAACTGTGGTAAGAGTATTTCTAATCCAGATACGACTCAAAACGTACTCCGAAACCGAAGTTTAATTAGTTTACTTAAATATTTATACAGTAATTTACATTTAAGAATAACGTAAAAGTTTAAACAAGGCGGAGAGGAATCATTCGTTCAAGAATTCCCGAAGGAATAGGAATATTCCAATTATCCGTGAAAAAATAAGGAAATAAGAATTATTTTAACAACGAATTTAATTATATACGAATACGTAAAATGATAGAAAGAAGTCAATCCACGGGTCGACGGGCTTCCGAAAGTAAGAACTGTTAAAGTACGAAAGATTGTTTACGGCCCTACAATAATTACGGTTTAAATTTTCCCTCCGTCGACGCGACGTATCGATCGAAAACGTCACGTTAGAACGTTAGAAACCGTCGCCAGAGGGCGAGAAGGCGAGGCGGCGCGCTGGTGGGACAGAAGGGACGCGGTCGGAGCGTAAGCCGACACTTTTTGAATTCGAAGCTAAGAGTAGGTACTAGGCGAGTATTTCCGGAAGCTTTCCTTCCCGGGATTCGGCTCTTCTCTTCTTCCCGCTCCATCCGCCTTTTCTTCCACCGACGGCCGACGGCCGCCCGATCGATAGCGTCGCTTCCCCCCAGTCCATCGATCCGTCGTTCTTCCTCCACTCCTCCCGGCGGAGAGAACGCGATCTGTGGGAAGACGCTTTCCTGGTCGTCTTCGTCTTTCCCGGGAGGGAGGATCCATCCCGGATAAAGAGAGGACGTGGCCGATTCGCTCGGCCTTCGACACCCATTCCCGGGAGGCGGAAGAAAGAGCGGGATGAGTCGAGAACCGTTGGAGTGCACCGTGCGAGGTCCCGTGGCCATGACCATGGACGACGACCGAGTGGAAGGAGGAACCGGATGCAGCGTCTTGGACGCCACCTTTCCCTATCCCGTACAGGTGAGTCCGTTTCTCCCGCTTTTAAGCCCTGAATTTTTACCCAAACCCCACGACTTTTCTGGCTCTGGTCTAGTAGCCAGTCCACCGGTACCCAAAAGGGAGGACGAACGACTCAAAAGTTAAGAGTATTCGAATAATTAACCGTTCTTCCCACCGTTAACGTAATTTCTCACTTTCGCGCGGGATGTTTTACGAATTCGGAGGTTGGTATTTACCGTATTAAACGCGTACCGTTTTACCCCGCGGAGAGGGTTTCCGACCGACGCTATTTTGGTGGATGCTGGAAATTACGTAATTTAAAAAATCGTTATTTTCGACATTTTAAAGTATACATGGTTGCAGGTCGGACTAGTCTGTCGATTCGAATCGTGATTTAAAACCTTTCTCTGGCCGTTTCGGTCAACAATATTCGTAAACTTTATGGTAAAAAACCAAGTTAAGTTTATTACAACAAATTTTATTTTTTTTAATTTGTAAGGACCATCGATGGTTAAAAGTCGATTACTCCCTCTGGGTCGAGTTGGAATTTAGGTTGGATTTCGGGTATGGATCCGTAAACCGTTCCGTTTGTAAAACCGCGGTCCGGGTCGGTGGTTAGCTTTTAAAACCGCGGCGTAATCTGTCCCTCGCGTGGCTACCGGTTGTAAAGGAAGGAGAAAGAAATTAGGCCAAAACGCAGTCGTCGACGGATAAACGATTTACAATTAACCAAAGATGATAGTTTCGACAACTGCCCAAGTAATTTTTCAGGGTAGTGAGATTTTATTTAATTTAATAAGACGTCCGGTTGGAATTTAAAAATCTTAATACGGCCTTTAAGTATTACTAAAAAATGTAATGTATTACGGGAAGCGAATAAAGGTTGCAAAAAGAAAGACGTTGTAGCAAAATTTGGAATTCCCTCCAGTAGTGCGGGAAGGGTGTATATATCGGATAAAAGGCTGTGGGGCGCACGGTACGCAGAAATATAGATCAGATCCGTATTTAAACTTTTAGGGATAGATCAGATCCTTCTATCCCTTTCGTCCGACAAAGACCCTTCCGGTTCGGGCTGACTCGTGTCTATTCTTTCGCTGCCCGGACTAGGAATTCTCGACGTGGTCGTATCGATGTCTTACGGTTTGAAAATTTGAAAGGGGTCGACGAGCGAATTAGATACGTATTGAGCGTGCATATATTCGATATAATAATTTAATACAGTATTGTTTAATTATTTAGTAAACGCAGTCATTTTAAATTTTTTAAAGTATTTTTATTGTCATCTACAAAACTTTCCAAATATAAAAAAATATACGTTATTTTTTAAACAATGTATAAATGTAAATACATTTAAGGGAGCGGTGGAAAAAATGTTTCTTTAAAAGGGTCGCTAGACGAAGAATGTTGAGAACTCCGATCCAGATAGTGATCGTACGTCGTTTTAAACACTACTTTTCGTTAGAACTCCGATAAATGTAAGATAAATTTAAGTTTTTCTGTAAAATTTCATTACGCTCTTCGACTTCTAATTACTCCTATTCGTTTGTTCTATTAGTGTTGTTATCGATTAACCTATATATTGCGCAGTCACGACGAGAGGAACCCTTTTTGTCTACCAGATATCGTCTTATATTTTGTCAATAAATAAATATTTCAGAAATTTGCTGTTTTATGTTTGAAATTTGTAATTTTAGTACTCGTACGAAACGCGATAGGTAGGAGAGATAACATTCAAGAACGTCTACACGGCCTACATGACCGTATTGTGCAAGAGAGTTTCTTCGGATTGCGACCCCAAGAACCGAAGCGCCCTCAAATGGCAGAAATGCATCCACAAGTACGTGCTGATGCCCAATCCCCACTTCGAAAACGGAAGTCAAAGCTTCTTTTCTTTAACTCAGAAAGACGTAAGTTTTCGTTTCTTCTTCCCGTTACGCGTAACGCGTTTTAAATGACACATTTTTATTTTTCGGTTTAGAGTCGTTTGGCTCTGTTGGACGTGGTAACCATTCGTTTAGTTCTGTACCAGCCGTCACCTCTGTGGAGGAAGTTCGGACTGGAGAAGTTTGCCGTCTATAGCGATCCCTCTCCGGTAAGTCCGATCCGTTTTGTTTCCGAAATTTCTTTGTTTTTGTCTTCCACACACTTTCGTCTCGTAATAGGAAGAAGCTCTACGGGTGGCCGTGCCCAGACTCTTCCTTTCCGAATCGCACGGATCCTCGGCATCTTCCCATCAGGTACGTATCGTTCCGTTCTTTCGGACCTAATGCTTAAATTCTCCGACAGCGGTGAATGTCGCGTTGCTATGGGGAGAAAGAAGAGAAAGGAAAAAGATTCGTTACTGCAAATATAATTACTTAACGGATTACGTATCCGGCCGCCGCTATGTCTCTTACGGATGGGTCTAGCCGCCAGCGTAAATAAGAGGAGAAGTGTGTGGATACGGCTTCTTCTACGTCAATACTTAACGATTTCTCTAACTTGTATTTTGTTGCGAGAATCTCAGTTTAACCGCTTCTCGACACTCTCGATAATCGATTATCGACGCGTTTCCTCGGGACCGGTTCGAACCCGAACGTTTATCATTTCCAGTGGATCTACTTGGTCTTTGGTCAGCTAGAGCCATTCGGGCAGAAGCTATTTACTACTCTTAACGGAAGTAACACTTAAAACAGAATACGAAAGTTTAGAATATAATTTTGTTTCTGTTGGTTTAAAAAGAAATAATACCGATAATTAATGCAAAAAGAAAGTAATCGAGGACCTTTTTTCCTCACTACTTTCTTTTCTGAAATACTTTACGTAAAGCGGGATAATTCGTTACCGTGGGAAATACAGTACGCCTTATTTCTGTCTACAGACGGAAGACCGTCGTAAATGCGCCGCCAGTCACGTGCAGAATCTGTGGGCCTTGTTGGAACAGGCGAAAAGTAACAAGAGCGATTTGAGCGTGGGGCGGTTTGAGGTAAGTTTCTCGTAAATCGTTGTAATCCGCTTCAATTTTATTTCGGAACGAGAAAATAAAATCTTCCTACGCCAATTTTGCCTCTACTCGCCCTATTAAATAAATGGAAGAATAATAGTTTGTTCTCGTCGCCCGACGTTTACCGAATCCGCCCAAAATTTAAATTTAATAAATAGGTCTGTATTTCAGTTTATCTTTTTAAAGTTTTTTCGCATTAACGGCTTCATTTTTTTTAAATTTTAGTATTAGTGAATATTATCGCCATTATAAAATGGAACGGTCCGGTGTCTTTTTCGAAACTATGATGTCGAATTACGTCTCGTTCCGCATATTTAGTTCTGTCGACGTCATTCTGCCCGTAAATATACGCATAAAGGAGCGACGTTTTAGATCGAAGGGGGAATATGGCGGAAGTATCTTATTGCGCGCATCGATTCGAATATCGATTAATATCTCTCAAACCTTCACCACGAAATTTTTTATATAATTTTCTATCGAAGGAAATGACTGGTCAAAATGCCTTGCGTCTTTAGTCCTTTTTTTCCTCCGAATATTTCTAAATAATTAAGCTTTATTAGTTGAAAGTAAAACAATAGTTCCGAGTAATTTTCGGAAAATCTTACACTTTTAAAGAGGTAAAATGGTCTGTCCGGGTTTGTCGATCGTCGTTCGACGAAATACTGGTATTTTCAGAAATAGAAAATAGGATTTACATTAAACATACAGGTATCCCTAGTACAACACGGTACTCGTACAACGTGGTTTCACTCTAACACCGTTTGAAAATTGGGGATATCCTTCTTACAACACGACTTCTTCCACACAAAATTTTACAATTTTTAAGCGCCAACTCCGTTATTCGACACGCTGTATATTCTGGCATACCGACTTTATTTAAATTCGAGCAAGCGCGCGTGTTGTCTGAAATTTGCCTACGGATTTTAGAATATTGAAATTTTCAGTTTTATGCCGTTTATCGGATTTACTTTAATGAAAACCGATAGCAGAATTCTTTGCTCCTCGTCCTCTATCAACCGGGAGTCGTCGTCGCTTTCACATTTTAGCCTTTAAGGCCAAGACTCCACTAGCGTAAAACCCCTGGCGGTAAAAGCTTTTAATCGCGCGACCATAATATCTTACGCCCGAGCGGGTGGTAAAACCAGCGTAGATGCCAGTCGAGCGGTGTTCGACTTTCGACGCGAATACGGCCGTAAAACGATACCATCCGCCATTCGGAACTGGGCGAAATCTAGGTCATGGCGGAAAACGAGCTTTTGCCTACGTTCCCTGGCGGCTACTCTAGAATAGATCTAGAAAGATTTATCGAAAATATCCGAAAGTATTCGTGTATCTACGACCAGAAGTATTCCGATTATAATAATGGATGCCTAAAACACGCGATACGGACGGCCGAAGGAAAATCCTTCGATTTAGAGGAGTAATTAAAAAGCTAAGCTTATAAGTGCCGTATATTATCTTAATTAATAATACGATAATAAAAGTTAACGTATGTAAGTAAAGATATTATTTTCACTACATTCGTAATTATATTACAGAAAAAACTCGTAGAATATAATCGTTGTCTTTGTAACTTCGATAGTACGGTCGCCTTAAGAACTTCGCTAGCCCGACCTCCACCCCAAACGCAAATAGGTCACGCCATTAAAAGTTTTTACGCTAGTGGAGTCTCGACCTAAGACTGTCGCCGTGTTTTGCTTTTTATAGATTAATCTTGGTATTTAGTAAAGTTTATTTAAACAATTTTAGATAAGTACTGTATTATTAAACTCTTTCGAAACCGAAAGTAAGCCATCGTTCGTAAACGCGATAAATGAAATATGGCGGTGTTTCGGTACTCGAACACAAATTCTTGAAAAAATTTCTCGGTCGTCGCTCCAACAAATTTCCCGTTACTATTTTTATTTCGTCACCCGTGAGAATTTTTCACCGTAAAAATGAAAAACACGAAAATGTCGCCGATACTCGCTACGGGGATGACGACGATATTTTGCGAAAAGAAAACGCCCTCGCTTAACTAAACTTAATATTAACACGAAATACGATACTTTTAATTGTGATTCTTACTTAATTATCGATCGCTTTAATAAACATATTTTTCTTAGTGACGGAAAAAAATAGTATACTTTTGCTAACTTCTGGAACGTAACCTCGTGTTTCGCGTTAGTCCTTTGTTTCGTATAGCGCGGATTCTTATAACACGCCACTTTTTCGGAACGTATCCACCGGATTGTACGAGGGATATCCGTATTTGGATTTGCCAGACTTAAAAAATAAAATAAAATAAATAAATAAATAAAAACGTTAAAAAGTAAAATATTTGTACTACTGTCATCAAAAAGAATCGGAAATGTCGCGTGTAATCGAATAAAGAACGCGCATTAAATTTTGTTTTCGCCACTTCAAAAATTGGAAGTGCTGCAAAACGCAACCCGGTCCCGTAACCGAATACAGGAGACGGGAGATACGAATACGGTGGGTTATCGGATTACGAACACTTTCGCGAAAGATTTTTATGTTCGGACAACGAAGGCCAGGAACACACGTGCGTAAAATTCGCCGTAAAATCTAGCATAAAACAGAGAACGTAAAAATTTTTCTGAAATTTTGGCTGAAACAGAACTGAAAATAGAGTACAGCGTGTCTCTACTTTTTACGCCGAAAAATTTTTACGCCAAAATCCCTCCAATAAAGAGAAGTCTTTCCTGTGACGTCAAAGTAGACAACGTTATTCTAACAATGGCGGCAACGAGGGTTAATCCTACAATTGTGACGGTCTGGAAAAATAGAGGAATTTATTGATTTCGTTCGACCACATCAGTGTCANCACACTAAAACTGACTGGACTGATTCCAAATCATGTTTTCATGACAAGCAGTAGGCCAACCAACTTAGATGGATTTAAAAAGTAAAATATTTGTACTACTGTCATCAAAAAGAATCGGAAATGGTTCCTTTAATCCGCGCCGTCGTCGTCCGTTTTACTCCACCGACAAACGATGGTTTTGCGGGTAAACAATTATTGCGCCGGCGAGTTTTAAAATGTCGCGTGTAATCGAATAAAGAACGCGCATTAAATTTTGTTTTCGCCGCTTCAAAAATTGGAAGTGCTGCAAAACGCGACCCGGTCCCGTAACCGAATACAGGAGACGGGAGATACGAATACAGTGGGTGATTGGATTACGAACACTTTCGCGAAAGATTTTTATGTTCGGACAACGAAGGCAGGAACACACGTGCGTAAAATTCGGCGTAAAATCTAGCATAAAACAGAAAACGTAAAAATTTTCCTGAAATTTTGGCTGAAACAGAACTGAAAATAGAGTACAGCGTGTTTTTACGCCAAAATCCCTCCAATAAAGAGAAGTCTTTCCTGTGACGTCAAAGTAGACAACGTTATTCTAACAATGGCGGCAACGAGGGTTAATCCTACAATTGTGACGGTCTGGAAAAATAGAGGAATTTATTGAATTCGTTCGACCACATCAGTGTNTGTTTTTACGCCAAAATCCCTCCAATAAAGAGAAGTCTTTCCTGTGACGTCAAAGTAGACAACGTTATTCTAACAATGGCGGCAACGAGGGTTAATCCTACAATTGTGACGGTCTGGAAAAATAGAGGAATTTATTGAATTCGTTCGACCACATCAGTGTCATGTATAAAGATACTGTATTTAAACAACGTTTATGGATGGATACAGGTGTTAAATTTCAAATAACAGGTAAGTCTAGTAGAATCGATATGTAGACCTAGCATTTAGATCACACGTTCTTTATTTCAATTCGGAATACGAGTCTATTCATTTAAATTTTCTATATAATATAGCGGAGGAAGTGGAGAAAAAATGGAAGGTACAAAGTGATAGATAGAGAAAAAAATCTGAGAGAAAAAAATTAATAAAATTAGCACTGTTGGTGGCAGTGGTGTTTCCTATTCGGCCAGAATTTTTACGTATGTGTGTTCTGACAAAAGCGTAAAACAGAAACTGAATTGAAAGCTGATTTCTGATTCAGTTTTCTGCCGCACAATTTTACGCGTGTGTGTTCCAGGCCGAATACTCCACAGAACATACACAAGAAGAAGCGACGTAAAATAACGAATGCCGATTGGTCTTCCCTCGTCTTCGGGCAACAATTCGAAACTTTTCGGAGTGCGGGAGACGTCGACATCGACGCTCAAGCCCGTATATATAGATCGGATAGTATTCCTCCGAACTTCGAAACTCTCCCTTGTAATTCCAGCCTTTTATTTCTCTGACAGAAACAATTCTTTTATCTATTCGCGAGACTGTCGGGCAGGCACTCGTTAAGTTTTGAGTCTGTTTTTCTTTTCGAAAGGTGAGGGTATAATAGCAAAAGTAGAGAGTGGGCGGAAGATGCCCAATGTTGCTGGGCAGTATGCGTGAACGGGTCTACGGTAGGCCGCGGTTCAATCTTATTTAAAAAAAATGCTGTATAATCGAGAAGACTCGAGCGGCTAAAGGAGTAACAAAAATCACATCTGAAAAATAAAAAACATCGAAGAGTTCGTAATGGAACCCGACGACGGAATCCGCAAAGAACTCTCGAATGAAGAACACCGAGAAACTCGGCAAGATATGTTTTCTTCTGAAAAAGAGGATTAATGCCGATATCTTCTATTAAAGATCCTTTGAAGAATTGGCAGGATGTCAGAACAACGGTCTTAGAATGGCATCAAAAGCAGGTTGAGGCTTGGGGATTTCTACAATTGCAATGCTATTAATTACTTACGAAAAATCCTGAAGAAGAGAGAAAAGCGATCGACATTAGACAGATTCTTTAATCCTTTCAAACGGAAAAAACATAAGTAATAAAAACGCGAGACTGTGTATGTATGTATTTTTATTATTATATATAAATAAACGTAGTAAGAAAGTATATATTTTTTTATTTTTGGGGGTCTCCGGAACGAATTAATTAAATTCCCATTAAAACCTATGGTAAATCGATAATCGGTTAACGAACAATTCGGATAGCGAACAAAGTCTTGGAACGGATTACGTTCGTTAATTAACCGATCACCCACTGTATTATTTATTTATTTGTCTACCGTACAATGCGCGATGGAATGGAATGCGCGTCGGTCGCTTCTGGTAAAAAGAACACGAAGATAAATTAAGTGAACTCTACGTCGCGCGGTTGCAAATAGTCATCGTCGAAACCGGAATTTTCCAATGGCACGAGATGTTCGAGGAATTGTGGCGCGTTATTCTACGGTCAAAATGGCCAATACCCGGGTCTCCGTCGGCAGGGGCTCCAAAACCAATCGTCACCAACCCAGTAATGTAGAAGGAATTCAAATTTGGCTGGGTTTCAGTTTTGTTTTTATTCGATTAAGACAACGCGACATAAGGGCGATCTACCTAGGGTGGAATGCCTGCCGGGAGCTTTTTGTTTTATGGGAAAGTGGCCCCAATTTAGGAGTTACTGACGCGAAGAAAACCCGTAAAACTCGGCCTGGCCAGGCGCTAACCCGCGACCATTTACCGGGGTAGGTAATTGGTCCGAAGTTTTATCCACTCGGTCAGTGGCAGGGACGGCACTTTTAGGGGGCGGCAAAATTTCACAATAAATAATAATAATAATATCTTGTAAAAATTTGAACCATTTCATTTCGTATTTTTGTCGCACATACGATTGGGACCGATTGAAATGAGCACGGAATTTCTCATTACTTATTCTGTGACGAAATTGAATTTTAGTCTTTTAAATTGAGATACCTAAATAAGGGGGCGGCTGACATTCGCGCTACGCCACTGGTCAGTGGTAGGCTTTAAATTTGGAACTTATCGAGGGAACTATATTGCCAGTACGGCGCAGAGGCAGTCGGGTCGGGTCGATGGCGACGAAGTCTTTCCCACTAACCACCGCCCCCAAAAACTATTAATCCGGCGTTTTGCATCGTTTTAATCAATAAATTGGAATCTCGCATTTTATCGAACCGTTGCCGATACTTTTTGATGGCACCAGCACTCATTGTTTAGAGCAGTGTTTCTCAACCTCTAACGAATCCTCCCCTTCAATAAAATCGTTACGTACTATCGGTCTTATCGAAGGTCTTCGCTTCAAAATTCCGATGCCCAGGGCCGAGGCTAACGCCAAATTCGTACCGCATCGAATAGACTAGTGACTAGTGTAATGTTATTTGTTTAATTATTGTACGATATAACGAATAAAACATTCAATTATTCTTAATATAATGTTTTGCTATATCGCCCAGAAAATTGTTTTATGCCCCTCAAAATATAAATTGTTACTAATCGCCCCCTCAACGTGGAAAAACGCTCACACGGGGGCGATATCACTCCCGTTGAGAAACACTGGTTTAGAGCTAAAGATTCTCGATATTCGAGTATAAACGTTTTTATTACATTGGCCATTCGTTCTTTACGTCCGAATTACGAGGGTTTTTCTTTTCGAATCGCGTAACGAAAATTCGTACTTTTAATAGAGGGCGCGAATTAACGTTTTCGGCACCGAGCGGTGCTTTTTCCCCGTAAGTCCGAGTGGGAAGAACTATCGGTTTACTTTTCCAATATACCAAAACACTACCCGTTGGCATTTTTCCCGAACCGCGGGATTTGACGAATTGTTAGTAAATACATTTGCCCGATAGTACCGTTTCGCGATTATTAAAATCTTTAGCGTATCTTTAAACGTCCGCTTTAAAAAAATACGGATTCTCTATTTACGGTTATGGTTTTAAAAATTCACCGGATTACACGCTGAGAAAAAACTGAGAAAAGTGTATGAAATTGGATGGATAAGGCACGCAATTTAAACGATGGTTTTTTGTGCCGCGAGTCAGGTTAGCATACGTTAGCGGAAGAGGTACGGTAGTTATCGAAATTTGAGCAAAATCTGGAAGTCGGATCGAGTGGCGAGCGAAATATCCCGGAACTTGGACGGTGACCGACTTTAATCTGGTTAGAAGGACCGAGGAAAGCCACGCGATTTTATTAATATTTTCTCCGGACGAAAACGAATTCTCGTACAATGCGAGTCGGGTTCCAATATTTTCGGTCCGCGTCGTTCGTCTCGCCCGGAAATCCCGACAAACGGCTAAGAAACTGTGGCAATTCCGGGACTTTCTACCTTCGCTCCGTATGCAAATTGGAGAAAAAGCGCGCGTAACTAGAATTACGAAGGATAAGGACTTTTCTTATTATTTTTCGATAATTTTTAACACTCCACGTGCCGGCGTGTTTTACGCTAACTGTTGTAGCCCGGAAGACGAGTTTAATTTCTTCGGGTCTCGATAAACAGAAAATAAACTTACCTTTTCTTCTCCGTAAGTAACGTCCCACTACGGAAGTTAGAATTTCGTTCGTTAGTTACGTTTAAAGGCGTTAAAATTTTGTTTAAGAGTCGTTGGGTGGGAGAATGCCGAGTGTACGGGACGATTTTGAAATTCTAAACAATTATTTAGTCGAAAGGATGGAAGGTAATTGCCGACGTCTTTTTTTTCAGGTGAACGGAAGCTACGACATCAATTTTCTGTCCTGTAACTGAATAAAGGAGACCGGAGATACAAAGACTATTTATTTCTTGTCTACCGTACAATGTGCAATGGAATGGAATGTGCGGCGTGTCGGTCGCTTCTCGTAAAAAGAATACAAAAATAAATTAAGTGAACTCTACGTCGTGTGGTTGCAAAATAAATAAACACAAAAAACGATACGAATGGGGAGTCGGTCCCGAATCTTTTCGGAATTCATATAAATAAACGTTTGTGGAATGAAGGCACCTGCGGTGGTTCTCGTCGATAATACGATTTAAGTACAACTTCTGTTATAAAAATGTAGAAACGTACAAAAATAGGGTAGAACCGAGATGACTGGAATTCCGTTGGCGGTGGAAGCCTACGCTCCCGTCTAAAAAAATACCGGACCAAGTGTGTAGAGGAACTATGGGCTTGGTTTTGGTCCCGCGCGAGTATCGAAAGTATAAAGTTGCGAAATAAGGCACCGGCGGCGTTAAGTAGAGCGTCTTCCCGCTTTGTTGGAGTGCTTCCTGGTCATCTTGCATTTGTTGGTGGTCCCGTAACTCTGAGCCAGTTCTTTGGCTCTCTGCCTCTCCTGGATCATCTGGCGCAGAGTCAGAAGGGTGGAAGGGCTGGCTCCCGTCCCGTGTCTAACGTGTTTACCCGTCAAGGTCCGGGTGGGTCTCTTCTTGGCTTCCGGACCCGGAGAACCCGGAGGACTGTTTTCCGGAACGATGCCCACTCTACGCTTCAGCTCCTCGTGGTCCTGATACTTCTGCATCAAGTGGGTGTAGTAACCGTAGACGTTGCAGGGAAATCCCGCCGGTGCCACGTGCCGAAGTTTCTGTAAGAAGCTCTCTTGATCTCCTTGGGAAACCGAAGGCATGGACCTGGAGCGGGATTGGGCCGACAGATCGAACTCGTCTCTCCGGCGGAACCGGGTCCCGTTTCCTTCCTTCGGCGAATTCCCGGAAGGACGGACTTCCATCTTCATCCTCTTGCCCGCGGGCCCTTCCGTCGGAGCCCGCCGTCGGCAGTCCGGGACACTCAGGTCGGGACAACTGAGGGAGCGCGCGCAAGGAGCTTCTTCTCCCGCTTCTTCCGCCAGAGCTCCCAGAGACCTGCACTTTCGCAGCGGGTTGGTCCGGCTGCCGGCCGGCCATCCGCGGGTTTCCGCCGGCGCCCAAGGGAAGCCCCCGTCCGCCGCCGCCGCCAGAGGGCCGCGGGGATAGGGGGCGGCCACCGCGTTGCGGAGAACGCGGTCCTTCAGGTAGGTGTCGCTGGCGGCTCGATAGAGGCAGTTGACCCCGTCGAAGGACGGATCGGTGCCGACCACGGCGCATCTGAGGCCCAGCTGCTGGTAGAGCACGGGATAGTAGGGCAAGAGGAAGGGGTTGGCCACGGCCACGGCCGGGAAGGCGCGGAAGGGCGATTCTCCACCCAGGAAGAACAGAGGGGGGTAGAAGGGTGGAACTCGCCACTCCGGACTAGGTTGTTTGTGGTCGGGAAGGTCGCCGTGGCGATCGGGAGCTTCCGACGATTCCAGGTGGGACTTTTTCGTCAGGTCGATGGGGGCGTCGTTCGTTTCCGCCACGGCTTCCGCGGCGTCGCCTCGGTCTTCGCGCTTCATAATACCTGCAAAGCGCCGGAGGTGTAAACGGGCGTTTCCTTCGGGTCTCACATTCGGCTGTAAAAGAAAGAGAAAACAGCTTTTACCTCACCGTTTTTGCGAAAGTTTCGCCGGTTATTTGGCCTCGGTCCGCGCGCGAGATTCTTTAGTATCGAATAAATTCCGCCGGCGGGACAGTTTTAAGCCGCGCTTTCGACCTAAGAAAACCCGGAGGTGGGGCGAAAACCAGTTCCGCCGAGTAATTGGTTTCGACAACGGAGGATTTGCGGTCGACATCACCGACAGTTTCTCAGTAGTGTAACGATATTCTCCAACGCGGTTACCCCGGGCCACCGACTTTCGACATTCCACCACAAAAATGTCAGCGGTTCGATTTCTCCGGTAATTCGAAAGAAAAAAACTTTCCGAGCCATTCTATATTTTAAGTAACGGCGAATCGTACGAAATTTCCCCTTTACGGGTGGTTCGGTTACGGGAAAGACTTTCCTCCGACACGCATAATTATTAACTAACACCTCCGGGTTTAACGAATTACGCTTTTTATTAATAACTTTTAAATTTTTTTATTAAATGGAGACCGACGCCAATCGAACTTTCGAACGGAAATCGGTACGAAGCGCGCGGAGGTATTTTCCGTCTGGAGGGATAGAAAAGAAATGGGAACGGTGGGAGAGTAAGTAGGAACACTTTGCGTTTTACGCTGAAGAAAGGCGCCGGGGTGTTACGTTACCGGCCGAAAGGCGGGTGTCGAACTACCACTGCGGAACGACGCGGCTAACCCCGACGATAGATGGAGTACGTCCGTTGGAGGGTGTCTTCCTTCCGGACCTTTAACAATTTTACGTTTCGTCCGAGAACCTCTGTTCCGTTGGCGCAGACTGGAAAAGGCCTTCGGAACGGAAGTAGTCCCCGCCGCCACTTAACGTCGTCGGACCCAATCCGTGGTTGGTCACGGATTAACCCAACGAATCTCCCACTTTATTTAACACTATTTTAAAGAATAGACGATCCCGTCCGTCCCTTACGTTATCGCCGTCGTCTTCCATCAATTTATTTCCGGTCGGAGAAGGCGTATTTAACCGAAAAGGGATTCTTCCCATCCGCGAGATTAAGGTGGTCGGTCCGAAGCTAGCGAAAACATTTGGCCCATTACGCCGGTATGGGAAATAAAAGAAAAAGGTTTCCCGTCCGTCCGTTTAAAGCCAAACCTCCGAATCTTTGGAATTTTACCGGTTGGCCAAAGTGGGGAAACGTCCCCAGTATTTCCCCTTCTCGGAGAATTTGACGGAATGGGCCCGGCACGGAGTGGAATTTACTGGGAAACGTCGGATACGATAGAAACGCTCCGCCGTCCGACCCCGAAGTAACCCGAGTTCCACCGGGATCCCGTCCGAGAAATTACAACGTAATGGCGAAGAATTTTTACCGATATAAGTAATTTACGTAACTAAAACGCCTCTTTATTGGACGGCGGAATTAATTTCCCCCGGCAAAGATTTTAGGGGCCGTAGCCCGAGGAAGAAAAGCCAAACCCTTGGACTTTTCCCCGGTGGGTCGTATCGGAAAACGTCGAGTATATTAACGCGCTCGATTTAAAAACTATCCACGCGCCAAGGGTTGGCGCCCGAGCTAATTAGGCCCATCCCCGGATTATCTGGACCCGTCGGATTAGCCGCAAACTCCGGACAAATTCCAATAAATCTGCGGATATTTCCAAGCAAGGATTTCCTCGCTTCCTTTTATCGGCCCGAGATTTTTCTCTTACTTTCGCATCCACTCGACGTTTACCACCGCGCGTCTCCTTTAAATACTTTTATAGAAAAATTCACCGCCCATTGAACGGTACTTTGTGTTTTTCGACCGGGAAGGAAAAGTGAATTTCCTACCGAAGCCGCTCCTCCGTTTACCGGGAAGGTGGAAACTGATCTGGTCCGGATAAAGGGCGCCGGAAGAAGAAGGGTTCGAATTAATCTTTTGGAAGGAAGATGGCCGGTCTTTGACTGTCCGAGAATAAACGCCGTCGAATACCGTTTTAACGTTTACCGCTTCTACCGCGGACCTGTAGGGAAAAGTGCCGCCGTCCACTTACAAAGTGTAATTTCGGCCACCGATAAACGCCGGTTTCCCAACTCCAAAGTTGTCCTCCCCCGTCGGGCCCGATCTCCGCGGAAGGAACGCGGCGTAAATCGTTTATTAATAAATGGTCCCGGGGTCGGGAGCCCGCCGTTGGCGTAAATTCCGTCCGTCGCGCCGGACGATTGTAAATTTCTCGCTCCCGGGTCCTTTGGACCGCGCCCGACCACCCGTCCCCGATATTCCTTCCGCGGGTATTTCGACGTTTCGTCCACTGTCCCGCAAGACTTTCCGGGCGAGTGGACGAAACGTCGGAAAGTCTTCCCCGGAAGACTCGCCCGGCCGCCGACCGGGAGATGCCTTAAAACTCCGACGGACTTTCTAAGAGACGCGCCGCCGTCTCTTCCCGGACGCGACCCCCGCCCGGACCGGGGGGGACCAATCTCCATTGTTCTACCGTCAGATGTTCGGCGGGCGGCAGATGTCGTCTCGACAATAGATACATTGTAACCGACGGTAATCGAACGTGACGCAAAAGTAATTTTTCCATTGTTTATGTTTCCGTCGTCCGTTTCGTCCCTTTTTTTATCGTCCTTCTGTTTTCTAGGCTCCTACCTTTTCCGGCGCCCCTTCGTCCGCCTTCTCCGCGGCGGCGGGGGGAGGAAGGAAGGAGGAATTCGTGGTCGGAAAGGCGCCGGTTAACCCCGGAACGGACCCATCGGCCGGCGTACTTACCTACCTTCGTTTTACGCGTTTCCGTCTCCAGACCCGCGCGTATCGGCCTCTCCGTCGCATCCCAAACCCCTTCCGTCCGGCAGAGAACGACCCACGCGTTGGAAAGACGATGGTTGGCGAGAGGAGGGAGAACGGACTTCTCCTCTCCTCCGGCGCGGCCCGCGCGATTACTCTCGGATCCCGGTACCGCGGCGTAAGTCACTCACCTGGACGGGGAAGGCGGGAGCGGGTCCGATTCGGAGGAGCGCCTCCTCGTATCTGGTCGGACTCTCGGACGCGCTCGGGTCCAGCTGCTCCGTCGGACAAAAAACCCGACCTCCTTCTCCCCCCTCCCGGCGCCTCCGGCGGATCCCTTCCGCCCCCGTCGACCGGGGGTCCGGGAGGAGTCCGATTATCGAAGGATCCGTGGCTTTTTGGCGGCGGGAGGAGGAGGAAGAGTTAAATAGACTTAAACAGAAATGCTGCGCTGTATTTTGTACGTTTTTCTTACGGCAACGGATAGTTTCTCTCCTTCGTCAACACCAGCACCGATCTTTGGAAGAAATCGTCGGGGCCGAGACCTTCCGACTTCTCGCCTCCGTAACGGTCCCGGTCGGCCATCTGTCGACGGGTGCGGCGGACCCCGTGACCCAGATTCGCCGAAACCGGTCGTAAACAAACCGCAGCTGCCCCCGGGCCGAAATTCGGACGCCGGGATAGGAAGAGGGCGCCAAGGCCCGGGAGGAAATTCGGACCGCCGGCTTCGGCGGGCGGGGAGAGACGGCGACCGGACTCCCTCGGAACCTTTCCCCTCGGCCGGATTCGATTCCTCCTAATTACTACGGCCGAAGGGTGACGAAAGACGGAAGTTTCGCCTCTGGCCCCGCATCTTCCTCTCGGACGTCGGCATTCTTCCGGCGGTATTCGTCCGCCACTCTTTTAGGTCGGAGCTCACTTTCCCGGCAAAAATTCCCTTCCACTGTAATTGGCGGGAAAAGAAAGCTAACGTCGGCCGTCCGAGCATTTAGAACGGTCGGAAGAGTTTACCAGGCCAAAGATTTGGCGAATTTTCCGTCACTTTCGTCGTCCGTCCGCGGGACGGCACCCACGGCGGTTTTCCTTTCCCGTTCAGGTCTTGGCGCTCCTTTTAAATAAAGAAAGCGCGTCTTTTATAACGAAAACCCACCAAACACTTCCCGTCGCCCGGTCGGCGTAAGTCTTTTTCCTCGGGGGGCCGGTCCGAAGGGTTGGACGGATTCCACCTCCGGAAGCCAGAAGAAAGGCGGGATAACCGTTGGGTCCGGCGACCCAGATTCGAGGAACCGAAACTCGGTCCGTTCTTTTGGATCCTTTCTCCACAAAAAGCCACCCGCCGTCGACGGCCGAGTTTTTGACCTACTTTCCACGCTCCCGACTTGTTTTGCGCTCTTATCGCTCCCCCTTCTTCTCGCCTCCCGGCTGCACCCCTTCCCCACTCGCACCTTCCGGTCCGAAACTACCGAAGAAACTAAGAAGACGGAATCTCACCGCCCACGTCGGCTCCCGAAGAAACGGCGAAGTCTCCGGCCTCGTTCCGAAAAAACCGGTCGTGGCGGATGGCGACGTCGTTCCGCCGCATCCGCCATCTTGCGTCGACGCCGGTTTCTGGCCCGGCAAAAACCCGTAGAAAAATTCCTCTACCCCGCAACGTCGCCCGGCTCTTCCGACTCTCCCCTCTGGTTCGCCCGGCTCTAACCGCCGTCCCCGTCATTTCTCCCCCACCCACGCGCCGAAAATCGCGCGCTCAAGGTTAAACGGCGGGGCGAAATGGTTCCGTCGTCCGTAACCGGCTTTATTTCGCGCCACGCGTCTGGAAACAATGTAAATACCTCAAGCGCTTTGTCCGAAGGAAGACAACACGGCGGAGATCGACGCATTCCGTCCTCCGTTCATAATTACGTCTGTACCTGGAATCGGAGGGTAAAGTCGACTAACGGGTGGTCGAAAGTAAAGAAGTGGGTTAGCGTCCGCGTTATCTTTCTACTCTCTTTCTGACTCGCGCTTTTTTTCCTCCTCGCATCCGTCTCCCGCGCCCCACCGCCGAAAATCGTCCGTTCACTCTCCCTTTACCGCCGTTATCGCCGACTCTCTAACGCCACTGCCCGGGGGATTTCGAGGATTCTCTTAACGCCGCTGCCCGAGCTCGCCATCCGCTTCCGTTTCCGCGGGGCGAAGCGGGCCACGGGCCGTCGCGCTCGACCGATCGGCGGAGCGTGCCGGCGGGCGTCGTCGGTTTCGCGCGCTCGGCCACGCGTCCAGTCGGATGGGTGGCGCACGTCCGCCGGGAGGAGTCCTCCGTCCCATTGGCGAAACCACGCACGCTCCGGCGCCGCGCGACACGGACGGACGACGGTGTGGGCCCGAACGGCGGGCGGCGCCGCGGAAGACGAGAAACGCCGTCGGCCGAGCGCGGAGGCCCGAAACGGACGCCGCGAAAGCCGGTGGCTCGGCGTCGACCCGCGTACCCCAACCGGTCGGCGCCGTAAGTTCTCCTTCTCCGCTGGGCGCTGACGTTCCTCTCCGGGCCGACGTCACGCGCGTCGACTTCCACGTTTTATTTTGGTCGGGCCGGCTGCCGACCGACACACTTTCCCAGAGATAGAAATCGCTTCCGGTTTGCGGAATCGGGTCGCCCTATCTCTTTCCACCCCGGATAAATCGTTCCAGTTAATCGGTCGGCCGTCCCGCCTCCCGATTTCGGACCCCGAATTCCGGACCCCCTCCGTCTTCCCTGGAAGAAGAGTGACGAAATCCGTCGCCACCGGGCGAACGCCCCCGCGGCCGGGCGGCGCGAAGGAGACCTTCCTTAGGCGCGCGATTTCTATTTATAATGTAAAGGCCATCCCGGCCGGTGTCACCGACAAAAATAGACGCCGCACGGCGCGCCGAAGACCGAAGGGGAAAGGTGGACGACGGCCGACCCGCTTCCGTTTCGGAGGGTGAAATACGGAGGCGCGTGGTGACGGAGAGAGAAAGCGTTTTTGGCGGCGGGTAAAGGAAAAGGCGCTCACCTGTTTTCCGGGAATCTCCCCTCCACAGGAGCGTTGCGAATGCGACGTGTGGCGGGACTCGCCCGCGACTCGGATGTGGTGGTTTTTGCAGCGCCGACGGGCCGACACGGTCTCGGGTGCGGCGAAACTCTCCCGCCACCACGTGGTGGCGTCGACCAATGGCGGAGCGCGTGGCGCAGAGCGGTGTTTCTAGGTCGGCGAGATGTACGAGTGTCTCGACTGGCTCCAACCTTTCTTTACCCGCTCGACCTCAAATATTAAAATAGAAGAGGCGAACGCCGGCGGTGAGGAGAAAGTGCCGTTTATATCGCGCGCTTTTCTAGGTCGCGCGCCTTTTTTCCTCTCTCTTACTTTCCCTGGCGGACGGCAACCGGGAGGCCGTAGTGGCCCGGGGTCCCGCCGGCCCCGTCGGCTCGGGCTCCCGTCCGTTTCCGGTTCCGGCGGAACCTAGCCGGGCGCGCGCCGCCGGAAGCCGGACGGGCCCACCGGTTTTACGCCGGACCACGGGGGAAGCGTCGTGGCTTCCGGACGCGTTCGCCTATCGGAGTCCCCATCAGCCGTTCCACTTTCTCTCGCGTCTTATCCGTCGACCGACTTTCTCCGCCCGGAAGTCGACGGCGCCGTCTCCCGAATCGCGGATCGGCCGACTCTTTCCGCCGCGCGACCGCCACGGAGAAGGCTTTTCGGTTCCGACCGGAAGCGGTTCCTTCTTCCGCCCGCTCCCGCCGTTCCTTCCTTTTAAAGACAAAAGTTGCTCTTCCGAGACATTTGCATTTTCTTCTTCCGAATAAATAACGTGGGAGGCGTAGTCGTCGAGTGTTCTAAGGTTTCGCCGGTCCGACGTTTCGAGAAGCGCCTGCAAAAGTGAATCGTGGACGGGCGGAAGAAGAAGTAAACGAATGACAAAGAATAAAGAAATTTCTTTGTAAATATTTTCCGACGGAAAATTACTATAAAGACCATTTTTAAAATATCCCCGGTACCAATTTCCCGGGATGCCGGGAAGGTAGGAAATAACGGCGGGTTCGGATTCCGGGGAAGAGGAGAGAGCGGCCGAGGAGGTTCTGTAAAAGGAAGCCCGACGCGGGTTCGGAAGAGAGAAACCGGAGGATTCCCGACGGACGACCAGCGGCGGGGGAGAGGAGACGGTGGGAAAGCGGAATGGGAAACACGACAATTTGTCCTCCCGAGGAATCTTTCTCCTAGAGTATCGTTGGTTGGCTGCAGCCCGGGTCCTTTCCGCTGGCTCCAGTTCCTTTTAACGGTACTTTAGCGCCGACGTTCCCTCCGTTTATTCGGCAAATGGGGAGAGCGAAAAAACTGGCCCGGGAGGAGGAGTCGGGTCCACTCCGACGCTGGGTTAGGGCCCAGCCACAAAAACGAAAGGCACCGAGAAGAGAACGGCGGAAGTTTTCGTAAGCGGTGGATAATTTCATTTCTTCGGCCGAGTTTTATCTTAAATTAGAGGGGAGCGGGGTTGGTTTTGAGGAGAAAAGAGAGGGGGAGAGATTGGCTTTGTTTAACGAGAGCAAAGGCGCTTTAATAAACTAGATTCGATAAAAAAACGAGAAGATTTGAAGCAGGCGTAAAAAGTAGGTAGATCTAACGAATCGATTACTCGACCCATATTCTGACGGCGATAAATCCCGCGGAAAGGAACCGTCACGTGACCTATTCTTATAATCGGCGACGGGCGAGTCTCCGGTCGACCGTGGTCATTGGCGAAAACCGGGAGAATTCCGTGGGTTTTCTTTCGTTTTGGCCGTGGAAACCGGGCCTTTGTTACAACGTCGATTATTAAAAGCCACTCTTCATCCCCGGTCTGGCCAGGGTGCGCCGGTGGGTTTTGACCACCGTCGGAGTAAAATGTCCGAGGCGCCGGATTCCGGTTCGAACCCCAGCTTCGGTTTTCCGGACGGAAATTCCCCCTTCCCTACCGCGCGGGTGTACGGGTAGAGACCCGGACGGAAAGCGCGAATTACGGTCCGGCGTTTGTTTTTTCCTTCCTTTTAAATTACAAAAAGGCGGTTACTCGAAAGCGTAACGGCCACGCGTCGGACACGTTACGCGCAGACGGCGTCTTCTACCTCTATTTAAAAATGGTAAAATTTCGGCGGAAATTTCTTTTTCTTTTTAAACTTTAAACTGGCAAAATCATTTTTCCGGGTGGAGAGAAAAGCCTTTAGTGGGCGACTTTAGTGGTGGTCGGTGGTCCCTCCGCCCGACCTAGGAAGAGTGTCCGGATCCCGGGTGGCCGCCAACAAACGGAACCCCTCCCGGTCCATTTACCGAATTACGCTAATCGCCGTCGTCGGCGGAAGGAAAAGGCCAACTTCGCCTTCTTCTTAAATTCGATGGCCTTTCTGTTCCGTTTACCGTCGTTTCGGACGTCGGACGAACGGACGAAAGGTAAGGGAAGCGCTTTCTAACGCGCCCGACGTTTCCACACGTTCGGAGGGAGGGGTGGAGAACGCCAGCCCCCGGTCTAGGTTTGCCACCGCGGCCAACGGAGGCGGAGGCGTACCTTTTCTTTTACTTTTCTCCGAGTAAAAGAAATAAAATCCCAAAGCGGAGACGATCCGGCCGCTAAATTTAGTGACGGATTTGGGGCGATCGTTCCTCCCGCTCCCACGCCACCGTTTACCTTTATCGTTACACCGGGTAAATTCGTTTCCTCTCGGCCGGCTTCCCGGCCGCCCATTGGCTTTTTAATCTTTATCCGCCCTTCTAAATAATAAAACATCGTTATACGTCAGGCCCGGTGGCGGCTATTTTACTTTTTCTAATTTTTCGGACCGACGATTACTTTTACCGTTAAAATCTATATTAAAAAAAAGTGAAACGACCTTCGGACGGTCCGTTAAAGCCGCGGCGCCGACGTAAGACTACCGTTTTACGTAGCATCGGCGGTAAGGCCAAGAACACGCGCGCGTGAAATTGTGTGGCAGAAAACTGAATCAGAAATCAGCTTTCGGTTCAGTTTCTGTGTTACGTTTTTATGCCAGAACTGGCCCAATGGGAAACCCCACTGCCCCTAACGGTGCTACATTTTCATTCCTTTTTGTTTTTCGCATATTGTACCGTATGTTCCATGTTTTCTCCGCTGCCTCCGCTATAATTCAGAAAATTTAAATTAATAGACTCGTATTCCGAATCGAAATAACGCGTGATTTAAATACCATATATCGATTCTACTAGACCTACCCGTTATTTGAAACTTAGCGCCCGTGGCCGTCCGTAAACTTTGTTTAATAATTAGTTTACCCCGGTCGAAGGGTAAATGCGCCCGGATCGATACCCGCCGTTCCTAAATCGGGATTTATTACGTGATTAGCGCAGCCTTTGTTACCTAGGCTTTCCGTACGAGACGTTTACCTGTCGGCCACGCGGTGTCCGTCCGGCCGTTCTATTTTCCCCCCTTCGTTTGTACCGTACGGTACTAGGCCTATAAATATGTGTACGGTATAGAGTAATCGACGATGCGTCAAATTAATCGAATCTTCTTTTAACGCCATTTGTGTCGCGCGAATAGAGTAAACGTTTTCGGTAACAAAGTACCGGTGCTTTATTCGCTATTTGCCGGTTTCCTCTTTGATACTAATCGTACCCGGACTAGGACGGTTACCGTTTTCTCGCTACTTTTCCTGTCGGATATTCATTTCGGACTCCATTCGTTGGCCCGTCAGATCGCACCGGTTACAATATTTATCGATACTTTATTTATCTTATCTTCGTACGTAATTTTTAATTCGCGTGACTAATTTCACGGTTATCGAGTTCGACTGTTCGCATACGATTCTTAAAATTAAGATAGGACGAATAAAATTCTTAACTTTGTATACGGGTAAATGTAGTAATAGTAAATTAAAAGAAAATTTAATAAACGTTAAAAAATAAAGTTGTTTACGTAATATTATACCGTTAAGTGATAACGGGTGGAAAAAATCCCCAGGAATTTTTCGGGGGAGTGGTCCGTTCGGATACGTCGGGCCCCGTCCCTCACCACCCGGCAGCCCCATTGTGGGCCCGGCCCAACCCGTAATGGACGGGCAAAAAGAGGCCCTCTTAGCGCCCGCGGGGCGGAAAGAGTAAAAAAAAAACCATTAAGTGATAAAAGAACGTCGTAATTTGACATTAAAAGTACCCGCGTATACTTCCACGTTTTGTGTGTCTATATCCCGCAGTATTACCAGTTTAAAAGTATGGTTACTGTAAAATTAATTTTTGTTGGTTTTTTTCTTGTTTTGGTAGACCAAAAATAAAAACAAGAGCAAAATCGTCTGGAAAAGTAAAGTAATATAAATGACGAAAATGTTATATTTATACGTCGGATTGCGCCTTAATTATCCTACGAAGAGTACGGTTAGGCGAACGAGTGGCGTACCAAGGAAACGGAAGCGCTCCCTCTAGCGGTCCAGTATGTTGACCCGGATTTTGTCTAATTCAAAGCCTGGGTTTAGGTATTTTTATAATTTCTAAATCTTCTGTTCATTTTTTTATTATCGCGTTATTTTCTTTTTAAAAAATTTCGTGCCGTTAATGTTTGGTTGGCAATTATAGCCGTTCCCGCCTATAGCCACTGCGGAGTCGTCGTCGTTGTATTTTGTTGCCGCCATACGTTCTCTAATACGAAGCTTCAGTCGTCTTGTAGTTTCGCGTACGTGGTCTGTGTTGGTTGGGGGTTAGAATTAAATTTATAACTCCCGTCTCTAATAACGCCTCTTTTTATGTATTATTTCGGTCGAATTTATCATTTCTTTAAGTTTCCGATATGGAGGGGCTAAAACTGTAACGCCATTTTAAAATATATTGTATTTTTTCAAAGACATATTTTTAATATGGAAAATTCGCACGCGTTTTATGCGCGTGTACGCGTGTTATTACGCATCTCTCTCGACGATTTTTTGGGTAATATTATTTAGTAAAAACATCTTTTGTATTATATTTACTTGGTGTTTTGTGTTGTAATGTTTCGATGATAGGTTTTTTAATTTTATCTATATACCCTCGGAAGACATTTTTTTAAAATATATGTAAAGATATATTTGAGTAATAATTTACTGTTTTTAACGGGTTACGCAGTTTAGTGTATTTTGGTATTAAATATTAATTTAACGGACGAGGAGGA